ATGGTTTTAGGGCAGATTTAAGCATCGTTTTAAAGCTGTTTATTCACTATTTTGGACAGATTTAAATACTATTTTTGGGTTGAATTAAGAGCCGTTTTGGAAAGGTTTTAAGCACTATTGTGGGCCTCCTATGTACGTGATTTTGGGGCTTCCAAAAATGCATATGTTGGGCTGAATTTGTTGCATTTCAGTGCTTTTAAAAACACGTCTTTTAGGCTGAGTTGGCTGCTGTTTGAAACCTTTTGAAAATGCTTTCGTGGGTTGATTCGGGCTGCAGTTTTGCCCTGTTTAGGAGGGGTTTTGTTGGCTATTTTTAAGATGTATTTGACACTAAACCGGACTGTTGTTTGTCCTGTCTTAGTGATATGTTTGGGCTGCAGCTGATACACTCTTTAGTGATATGTTTAGGCTGCACTTGAAGTACTTTTTAGTGATATGTTTAGGCTGCACTTGAAGCACTCTTTAATGATATGTTTGTACTGCACCTGAAGCACTCTTTAGTGATATATTTGGGCTGCACTTGAAGCACTCTTTAGTGATATGTTTGTGCTGCACCTGAAGCACTCTTTAGTGATATGTTTGTGCCACTTGAAGCACTCTTTAGTGATATGTTCGGGCTGCACTTGAAGTCTTTTTTAGTTATATGTTTGGGCTGCACTTGAAGCACTCTTTAGTAATATGTTTGGGTTGCACTTGAAGCACTCTTTAGTAATATGTTTGGGCTGCACTTTGAAGTTTTTTTAGTGATGTTTGGGCTGCACTTTGAAGCTTTATTTAGTGATGTTTAGGTCATATTTTGAAGCTTTATTCGTTAAGGTTTAAGTTGCATTTTGAGACTTTATTTGTTAAGTCTTAAATTACATTTTGAAGCCTCATTCGTCATTTTGAAGCTTTATTCGTTAAGGTTTAAGTTGCAATTTGAGGCCTTATTCGTTAAAGTTTAAGTTGCATTTTGAGGCTTTTATACATCGATTTGGACACTTTTTAAGCACCTTTTGGGACTGATTCGATCATTGTTTGTTTTGAAAGAATTTAAATGCCTTTAGGCTGATTCACTTGCGGTTTTGCCCCTTGCTTAATTGATTTTTTTTTAAGAAGTGGGCCGACCTCCTCCACTTAATTGGTTTTGTTTTTCTTTTTCTTGCCAACGGTTAAGTTAAAAAATGATAATTTTTGATTTAATTATTTTCAGAATTGATTTACGGCCTTTAAAAATAAAAAGAAAGGGGAGGGAATTAAAAGAAAATGATATTTAGTATGTTGAGATGATTGAAACCTAAAGGGAAAATATGGTAGCAAACATTCACAATTTCTTTTACATAAGAAAGTAAAATTGTAATTGTGAGAATTATTGAGAATTGAGAAAAAACAAGAGCTTAAATGATTCAAAAGTTAGAGTCCTGAATTGAGAGATCAATAAACTATCAATTAGGACCCCTAAGCATTGGATAGACTTAAGCCCAATTGTTTTAATTAAGATTGAAACACATTTCACGAATATTTTTGCCAAAATTATAGGTTTACCCCCTAGGTCTTAAGTGCCTGATAGTGAGCTAAGTTTGATCTAAAGATGTTTGAAGATTAGTTGGAAAACACTTAATTGAAGATAAACACTTTAAAATGCTTCAGACTCAAGTTAAACTGTAGACTTCCTAGATTTTAGGAGCACACCCTAGGTGAGAGTTTATCTACCGAATTTTCAAATGAACACTGAAACTAAGCATCTGACCCTAATTTATCTGTAGGCTTTTTAGATTTTAGGAGCACATCCTAGGTGAGAGTTTATCTACCTAATTTTCAAATGAACATTGAATCTAGACATCTGACTCTAATTTATAAGTTAGTTAAAACAATAGACAAGGTATGCACTAGCTGTGGTTCATGACTGATTTAATTAAATCAAATAGTGAAATTCTCATCATAACTTCACATAAAATGAAACTCAATGTTCCGGGATTTGAGCTTGAATCTTTCACTCAAATCCTCCTGACAATTGAGGACATTCCCAATATCACATATAAATCTCCCACCCTCGTTCCTTTATATGTGACATTGTGTTTTGTTTTATTTGTTTGTCTTTTTCTTACGATTTATTTTTAGTTTTTGTGGGTCGATTTCAGTTTTCCTCAGGGCTTTCCACATGTTACTCTATTTATTTTGTTATACATAAACACATGTTTGTCTTTCTAGCTGAATTTCTCTATTATACTATTACCTGCAACACTGATCTCATTTACAAGTATAACAATAACAAGAAAAATCAAATACCCAAAGTTTACAATACATTTATAACACTTTACTGCATTTTCTTATACTGCTTTTATTTACATCACTTTATACTGTTTTTATTTACAGTTTTTCCTTATAACATAGTTTGTTTATACATGCTTTAAGTTAACTACAAAATCTTTAGGATATAGTCTGGTTTAAGAGATATACAAAGATAAGAGATATACAACAGTAAGTCACCAAATAACAATATTGCATTTTCACATATAAGACACTAAACTTGAAACTACTACTACATGGGACATGGAGCAAGTTTTCGTGGGTAGCACGACCAGGATGTAGCGAACGGAGGATGACGATCTACATCAGTATAATAAGTCTACGACATCTAAACTTTTTTCTTAGTTTAAATAACAACTCATAGGACTTCGAGGCAGTTTGCTTAGCGCAACGTAAATCCTCACTTTGTCTTTTAGGCTTTTGCACAACCATGTTGTCCAATTATAAGTCTTAACACTTTTAGGATTCTGAGGTTACCGTACGGTACTGTGTAAATCCTCCAATCTTTCTAGGTTATTTGCACGATCAGATATCGTACGAATGTAAGTCCGAAATTCTAAATAAAATTGTAGGATTAAACATTGAATAACATCATTTTAAAGACATAAAGCCAAACAATAAGATATTTAAGAAGTCACCAGGGTTTCCCCTGTATCTGTGATATCCCCCACTCTTCATTCCTTTAGATTCCTTAAAACAACTGTTTCTGTTTGAGCCACTCCCATTTGATTTTTCAGCTTCCAATCTTGGAAACCTAAACTTTGAAATCTTGAAGGCAAAACCACTAATTTTAATCGAGAGTTTTCTTAAGTGACTATGGTTATTTAAGATGTAATTAACTATAGGGGCTTGCCCCCAGGTAAAATAAACCCTATCTAATTCTTATATTAGATATGGAAACTTGTCGGCTATACATAAAAGTTTTTGCAGACCAAACGAATGTCACAAACTCTTTAGTTTAGGTGGTTGAGCCTACTGTCATGTGAAAATACTTACCCTTCGTGATAATATATTATATGTTGGATCTCGCTCAGTTATCCAAACTATTTAATATGCGAGACTCGTTTGATTCATCTATCTTTAAATTAAAATATTACTTTCAAAAGTCATATTTACATCAAAACTATTTTTATATTTACAAAAAATCATTTTTCATTCTTTCCAAAAATAGCGGTCGACAAGACATATTCCAGATTTGAAGAAGAATTTAATTTTCTTTGGCACTTTACACAAAAATGATTTTATTTCTAAGTCAGATGAGGATAGAGGAGCCATCAGAATTGTTAAAGGTACATTGACTGTAATGAAAGGATAAATCACTGCAGGTAATATCTATAAACTGTTGGGGAGTACAGTTGTAGATGAAGTTCACTCTGTTGAATCATATGATGAAATTGTAGCAGATTTGTTGGCCAAGTCAGGTACTATCAACAAGTTCTTGCATTGCTTGAACTTGTTGAGTATTTGCAATTGTTAGACGTAATGGTTGCCCAACCCACTTCGGTGTAAGAAACTCAAAGAAGTATTTCTCTTAAGGGGCTGAATATTCGTCAAGGTTGAGATTTGTCGGGTATATGTATTTCTCCTAAAAGGCTGAATATTCGTCAAGGTGGAGATTTGTGAGGTATATGTATTTTTCCTAAGGTGCCGGACATTCGCCAAAGTGGAGATTTGTTAGGTATGACTCATATACTATAATTTGGAGTCTCTTGGAGTAAAGATGTGTGTCTTTTGGAGATAAGGGGGGTGGGG